TGAATCTAGCCCCCTTTGCGTGCTCAGCATTTCCCTGCTTAAATCCTCTTGACCGCTCTCTCTGACAGACGGAGGCCCGCAGCGGCAGGGCAGGTCCATCTCTGGTCACGGGGATCGGACCTGAGGCTCACCCTGACTTGAGCGTGCACGCCGTGACTCCACACCCCACCGTCTCCCTTTGTACACCTCAAAGTTCTCCTTTTCCTACAGCCCCAAATCCCTAAACTCTAAAACCTAATCAGCATCGCACCGGGATTAGGGCTGCACCATCAATAGGAACGTGCGCTGGGTTCAAACCCAGCCAAGGCACCATCTTGCCATGGAGGTCCCCTGTACAGGGGACTGACCGTACCAGCCAGAAGAAGCCATGGGTAACCCAGAGACTCCTTTGGGTTCAGCCACAGCAGATCTTTAAGCCACATCTGTCCCTGCTGCTCCTGGCAGGGGCTTTCCAGCCCCTTTGCAGTGTGCTCCTCCATCCAGAGCCTGCCCTGCGCCCTGCTAGGTGGGCACACGTGCCCCCCACCCAAACACATCGCCCCTCTGCAACTCGCAGGGACCTCCCTGCTCACCGGGGACGAAGCTCGCTGGGTCGACTGCCACGACGACGTAGGCCTGCAGCAGGAGGTGAGGCAGGGTCTGCAGCAGAGCTTCCAGGAGCCGCAGCACACACGCGTCCCCGTGCTGTGTTAGCACCTCCCCGGCACAGGCACTGCCCCTCGTCTTTGCCCCCATCCACAAAACATCCCAGTACCTGCAAGAGGCACCGTGATGGGATGTCCACCCTAGTTTTGGCAGGTTTGGGACTGCACCCAGGTTGGGGGAGGACACACACACACACGAGATGAGGAGCATCTCTCACCGCTTCCAGAGGCCCAGCTGCAGGAGGTGGAGCACCAGGAGCCAGCAGCCCGGTGGGCGGCCGTCCGCCCTGAACCAGAGGATGCTGAGGAGCTGAGCCACGTAGCCGGGCACCCCGCAGGCGATGGTCAGCCCAAACCAGCCCAGTTCCCCGCGGATGAGGTAGTGGACAATGGTGGAGAGCCCTGCAGAGCAGGAGAGAGGCACCGCTGCGGGATGCCACGGCCAACGACTGGAAGGTGCTCCCCGTAACCCACCCCAAATTCATC